GCGCAGGATCGGGCAGTGTTTCGTTCTGCTGTGCATGGGGTCGCTATGAGTCGGAAACGACTCGACGACACCTAACAACAACAACAAAAAAAAAAATAAAAATAAAAAAACCCACTGACGTCAAGTCGGATTCCATAGATAGCATTTTTCATGGAGTAAAAGAGAACAGGAAATGTAAGAATGCATAGCTTGTGATGTCTCATTTGATCAACTTTGTTTCAGTTGTTTAATGCACATATTTGTTGTGATGTAAAATCTATTTTTTTAACTGTGAGTCACAATTAGAAAACTTTAAAAGCCACTGCTGCCATCAATGGTGTGCTCTCGACTAGAGATGATCACTCCCTCCTCTATGCTGCTACTGTACCAGCACACGATGTACTTGACTCCTCCATTACTTTATGCATTTAATTACTTAATAATATTTACAGGCTGGTGATTTCTACACTGTGAAATAGCTAGTCAAAAGACTGCTTCTATCATGATCTTTTAAACCATCTGATTATGATACTTCACAACTGATTAAGACCTTGATCAGAGAGTAGAGGGGAAAAAAAATTAAGATTAAAAGCATATGAGAACATGTACAAACCTTCAAAAAAAAAAAAAAAGACTTGTTGAAAAAAACTAGAAATTTCAGTTCACAGAAATATGTTTTATTGGTGTGTGTGTGTGTGTATATACACACACACACACATAATACAAACACTGATTAAGTCCAATAAGGTACAGTTGAAAGCACATAAAATATTTAAAGTATGTTATGTTGATGGAATAATTTGGGAAAGGATAGTGAGAAAAGTTACATAACTTAGAGAATATAAACAATGTTACTGAACTGTACAGGTAGAACCTGTTGAAGTGGTATACCCTCGGATATATATATTTACACCAAAAAACTTAATTTAAAAAATATCTGAAGTATGAAAAAACATATTCCCATATTTTCCTATGCTTGAACTGAATTACTTTGTTACCTGGAGATTATCAGTATATAACAGCATACTCAAAACCACTGTCATCAAGTCAGTTCTAACTCATAGTGACCCTAAAGGACAGAATCAAACTGACCCACAGGGTTTCCAAGACTGTGATCTTTACAGAAGCAAACTGGCACATCTTTCCCCTGAACAGTGGCTGATGGGTTCAGACCACCAACCTTTCAGTTAGCAGCCAAGCACTTAACCAGTGTGCAACCAGGGCTCCTTCATAATAGCATAAACCTAGAAAACAGACTTTCCATTTCAATTCTGATGCTGTGATTTGCTTTGCTTATAAAATACATTTTGAAAAATTAAAAAGACTTCAAACAGGAAAATAACTGAGCTTACGTTGCAATTCTTCCCTAACATGTACCACATTGTAAGTGCAAATAGGCATTTAATAAGAGGAAAACCTAGAAACACTTTGTCTTTTCTTTCCTGAGGGTATCTTTAATTGGACGCCTCTAACATGGCACATTACATATTATGAGTTTAGGTTCCTAGGTTATTTACAGTAACAGAATAGTTTTCTCTGTGAAAAGACCTAATGCAAAAATTCATCTTGTTTCTCTAAGGTTCCCAGAAGGATGGTAGTCATATGACATTAGTTAGCCATGTATCAGTAGTATATAAATTATTCATGCACATTTTCAGGGGCTAAAATAAATAGAAATGACATTTACAAATTAAATTTAATCAGAAGAAGTGTTGAACAGGAATATTTATTAAATTGAAAATCGTGAGACTCTCCCACAAAAAAACAGACTCTACGTCCCCATGACGACTGAAAGAGAGGTGCTCATAATGGATGCCTTCTCTTTATGCAGTTTACCACTTCTGATCACGTTACCCCAATTCCCATTTTCGAATACTCTCTAGTCCATGTCTAAGCATAAAAAGAAACAGATTTCATATATACAGAATTACAGGATTCTTTATGTCCTAAAAAAGACCATTAAAACAAAAGTAATAACAGATGGGTATATTTAAAGCTTAAATGTCTTCACTTAATAGAAATGTATATACTCAAATCCCATGCCAATAATTTCCAGTAAATAAAAAAGCTTTTTTTTTTCCCTAAAGGAAAATAATTATCTAGATGATATTGCAAAAAGCAGTATTTTATAACATGACCCCATTCACTTTTCAGTTTCTTACTTCATAACATATTGACTATATCAGATTTATTGACAACTTTGGTAATATGGTATAAGAAATAAAAAGGAGCCCTGATGGCACCATGGGTAAGCACTCAGCTGCTAACTGAAAAGTCAATGGTTCGAACCCACCGGTGGCTATGCAGGATAAGAGACCTGATGATCTGCTCCTGTAATGACTACAGCCTAGGAAACCCTGTAGAGCAGTTCTACTCTGACATGTAAGATCATTACGAGTCAGAATCGACTCACCAGCACAAAACAATGTAACTCTTTCTTGTATTTCACCATACAGCTATTTCTTTTTAAGAATGCAATTATAAAAAACTCACTAAATATTAATCAAATTTTATCATAGGACACCATTCTTTCCCTAGGGTATGTACCTCTGATTTCATCAAAGATGTCAGTATAAAACTAAGATTCACTTACCAGAAATTTGATTTCCCCTATACTCTAACTCCAAACAAACATAAAAAAACCACTGCCATCAAATTGATTCCGACTCACAGAGACATCCATTGGCTTTCCCAAGTGGTAAAACTTTACGGAAGTAGATTGCCCCATCTTCTTTCTGCAGAGTGCTGGTGGGTTTGAACCACTAACCTGGTTAGCAGTCAAATGCCTTAGGCACTGTACCACCAGAGGTCCTATACTGTACTAGGAATATCTAATTAACGGAGAAATTTGTGAAAGGAAATAAAATTTTGTAATCTTTCTGAGAAACTCACCTTGCCTTTTTGGTTCAAGGGTTCAATTGTCAAGCTATCAGGTCCAATATCCACTATATTGCCCATCTGAAATCCATCTGTAGGGTGTGGTGCCCAAACGGGCTTTCCATCCTCCATTTTTGGAGAGGGCTATCCAGTATCTCCTGTATCAAAGGAACAAACAGCATGAATAACTTTGATTTTGTTATGTGCCCTCGAGTCAGACCCAAGTCATAGCAACCCTCCTTGGGTTTCCCAGGCAGTATCACTATGGAAGTAGATTGTCCAACCTTCCTTCTGAGGAGGGGCTGGTGGGTGTGAACCGCCAGCCTTCTGGTTAGCAGTCATGTGCCTTAGGCACTACGCTCCCAGAGCTCCCATGAGTAACTTTAGAAATATAAAATAAATAACATCATTTTTAAACAATCATTTTGAACTGCCACATGATCACTGCAACCCATTTCTAGAAACACACATCCACCCCTGCCACAGGCGATCCCCCCCGACGCACCTCTTCTGGATCCTCCCCCCCCTTATCTACCTTTCATCCCTCAGGTAACCTCAGCTCTACTACTTCCTCACTTCAGTTGTGACTTAAACAGCGTACTACACTTTGACATTTGACAGCAACAGTCCTGTTTCTTGCCTGTTGTCCTAATGTAATTCATAGTAACACTATACTTTTACTATTTAGAATATTCTCGTTTTCACAATGAATTAGTTTACTGTTTAGACAGTCATCCAAGGAATACATGGTAATGTGTGGTGCTGGCTAAGAGTCAAAAATAAGTCATTTTGGACCAGAAAGGCTAAACAGATAATGAGAGATTTGACACATTACTTCCTCTGCAATATTTTCTCTGACCACCTGAGGCTGCAGGGCTTGCCTACCCATCTGTTCCTTACAATTATCTTCAGATACTCTCAACCCATTGTTTTGGTGGCTGTTCTTTTTTTCACTGATGTAAAAGTTATATACTGTGGTATGTATAGAAGTTCTGGTGGTATAGTGGATAATGCATTTGGCTGCTCACCAGAAGGTCAGCAGTTCATAACCCACCAGCTGCTCTGTGGAAGGAAGATGGGGCGATCTACTTCCATAAAGATTTACAGCCTCAAAAACCCTATAGGGTTCACTATGGGTTGGAATCAACTTAATGGCAATGAGTTTGGCTTTGGTTTGGTTTAATATGTATAAATTCTAAAGGACACAAGTTGATGAATTTTGACAAAAAGATGTACTCATTTAACAAACACTATTAAGTCAACACATTTTCCTCATACCTCCTTCTGGTCAATCTCCACCCCTCATAGTCATTCACTATTCTGGTTTCTATCACTATAGTTAGTTTACCTGTCCTTAAATTTCATATAAATAAGATCATTTAATATGTATTTGTGTATGTGTGTGCGCCTGGCTTCTTAGATTCAACAAAATGTTCCTGAGATTCTTCATGTCATTGTGTACTACGTTATTGACCAATCACACCACAATAGTTGTCTTTTGCCTTAATGATGGACACGTAGGTTATTTCTCATTTTTGCCTATTGTGAATTTCAATCAAATTTTTCCACTGTCCTATAAAGCTTCATTCATGCTTGGCATCTCAGATTTAACATTTACAATTGTGGCTACTGAGAGTAGCCTAAAGAGTCCATGACGTTCAGAACATTTCATTTTCATGAGCTTAGATGCTATGAGGCAAATATGTAACTTCTCATTGCCTGATGGACACCTCCTTGTGGGTATATCTCATAGATATAACAATATTAGTATTCTGTCCAAGACAGTGTCGTTCTCCCCCACAGTTAGTTCTTCCCCATATCAGTAAAGGCACCAAGAGCACACAGTTGAAATCAAACCTGGAGTCATCTTTGATTCCTCTGGCTCCACTCAAATTCTTATCACCCTCAAATCTTGTCAGTTTTACATTCAATAGGCATCTCAAATCTATACACTTCTCTGCATCTCCTCTGCCATCCTAGTCTAAACCATTATTGACTTTTACTAAGACTTCTACAATTAACCTGTCTGCTTGCTTCTACTCTGGCCACTCTCCACAGATGAGCAGTAATTCTATTAAAAAGTAAATCTGATCATGTCACTATTGTTACATCAGCACAGAGAGTAGTCCCCTCTGTGTCTCTAAGGCCCAGAACACAACAGGCACTCCAACATTTAGTAGGTGAACAAATGAATTAATTGTTCACACAGTTTGGGAAAAGTAAAATGAGACAGTAGACTGGAACCAGTCAAGAGGTCTTAAAACTTAGGTTTGAAACTGGGCTCCATCACTTTCTGATGAGCTCTTTGAGCTTGGGCAAGTTACTTAGCCTCTCTGATCTTTATCTGTATCTCTATCCATACTGTGGGATAATATCACTTACCTTACAGAATTGCTGCAAGGATTAAGTGACATAAAACTGAGATCACCAATCTATTGGCACCCAATAGATGCTAGTCACACCTCTCCTCTTTCCTTCCCCCATATGGCTTGTTTGAAGCCTCCAGGAAGTCTCAAAACAATGGTCTTATGGTAGTTCTAAATACAAAAGGAAATGACAGAATAGTTACTAGAGATTGTTTGAGAATTATTAAGTATTTAAATGTGAGAAATAAAAATCACAGCAAAGCAAACCCCCACAGCTCAAAAAAGAATGCCACATTCTCTTAACTATTCAAATTGCCTTCCCATTTTTGAAAAGTTTGCCGTAGATTCCCAGTTGAGATCAAAGAATTTTTTAAATATAAACCCACAAGGATGGAGAAACAAAAGATAAGACAACAGCTGAAAGATTTTGGTTGAGAGGCAAATGAACTAACATATTCAAGAGACTTGAATCTCAAATAGAAATGGGAAAATACGAAAAACAACATAAATTATACCACCAAAAAAAAAAAAAAAAAAGAGAAAACTCACTGCCAATGAGTTGATTCTACTCATAGTGACACCTCCTTGGGTTTCCGAGGCGGTATCGCTACAGTAGACTGCCCAATCTTTCGAGGAGTGGCTGGTGGATTTGAACCACCAGCCTTCTGGTTAGCAGTCGAATGCCTTAGGCACTACACCACCAAAGCTCCCAAATTATACCACAGATGCCTCAAAAAAACCGTAAGAACTGTAGAACTAGAAACTTCAATTACAAGAGAAGAGAGGTCTAAAATAAAAAAGACTTGAGTGAACGTTATTTGAGAACAAGATTTCCTAATGCTACCCACAAACCCACACGCCACATGTTGCTAGGCAAATCTCCCACCCCTTACCCGAAGAGAAACCTAGAGTTTTATTTTCTGGAGAAGACAGAGGTACTCTGAAGTGAGACACATGTGACACAATTAAGGTTATGCACAAAAAACTGCTGCATGCAGAGAATACCACTCCCTGCCTGGGCTCCCACATTACTAGCAACCAGACCTTTAGAGTCCAGGAAGGGGATTGGATGGATGTCTTCTCTCTCAGGCGAATATGATCAGTTCAAGAAGGAAGACGTAAGATACTAACATGGGCTTATCCCCACAAACTGAACACCCAGATCACCTTACAATAAAGCACAAGGTCAACAACTGCCACCCAAAGCTCTGAGCAGCACTGAGGCTACAGTCCCCCATTCTTAATCATAAGCAGCACTCAAGAATTTCCACACACTCAAGAAAACTCTCTAATATGGAAGATAGAGAAGAAAACAAATAGAAAGTAGAAAACAAGAATTTGGAGAAAGCAGAAACCATGAAGTAGACAGAATATTCAAAAATCTATTTTTAATATCAGAGAAGTGATAAATTATCTCCATGAAAAAGTACAGTATGCTACAAAAGAGCACTGGAAATTAACACATGAAAGCAAAAAATTAAAGATTCACTAGGAGTTTTATAAGATAAAGTTGAGGCAATCTTGCAGAATGCAAAGGAAGAAAAGAGCTAGAAAGTAGGAAAATGTTTTTTAAATAAGATAGAAAATGTGAGAAAAAAATAGGAAAATGAAACTAGTAGAAACATTCAACATAAAAATAGCAGGAGGTACAGAAGTCTCTCACCCACTCCACCCCTCACATGCTTCATAAGCATATGAAAGCTGGACAATGAATTAGGAAGACTGAAGAAGAGCTGATGCTTTTGAGTTGTGGTGTAGGCAAAGAATACTGCCAGAAGAACAAACAAATCTTTCCTGGGAGAAATGCAGCCAGGATGCTCCTTGAAGCAAGAATGGCCAGACTGTGTCACACTTAACGTTGGTCATGTTGTCAGATGGGACCATCCTCAGGAGAAGGGTATCATGCCTAGTAAAGTGGAGGATCAGCAAAGAAAGGGGAGATCCACAAGATGGACTGGCACCATGTTTGCAACGATGGTCTCAAGCATAGTAAGGACTGTGAGGATGCCGCACCATTGGGTACTGTATTGCTCTGTTGTACACAGGGTCTCTATAAGTCAGAGCTGACTCAACGGCACCTAACAACAATGACACCTGCCATCTCGCTATTATCTTCAAAGATTATCCTTTAAAAATTAAATTATACTTGTGAGATATAACATCATCTTACATTTTATTAGCTCGGGTATTAGAAATTAAGCACCACATCTACTCCTCTTAAGTTGATTCCAACTCATAGCAACCCTTCAAGACAGAGTAGAACTGTCCCATAGGGTTTCCAAGGCTGTATCTCTATGAAAGCGGAATGTTTTATCTTTCTCTAGCAGAGTGGCAGGTGGGTTTGAACCACTGACCTTTTAGTTAGGAGCCCAATGCTTTTACCACAGCACCACCAGAACTCCTTGGAAATTGTGCACCAGTTAAAAGTAACATGGGGTTGGGTAGCAAGACATGGAATAAATTATCAAAAAGGAAGAAAGAAGCATTGAACACAGCAAGCAGAATCTTTCCAAGATTTCCTTCCACAATCACTCATTCTATTATCTACAGTGTGGCACATAACCCCATAAGTGTTACAGGATAAGAAAAAAGAGACACAATGGTCTGGCCTCACAGATTTTTAATCTAATAGGAAAACAATAACTTGGAATAAGACAGTAAACAAAATTGGCAAATTTTAAGTCTTCCTTATTCATTTCTTACTCCTTGTCTAGCTTTCACATGTATATGAGAAAGGCAAAGGGTGGGGTAGGTGAGGGACTTCTCTTTCTCCTGCCCTCAGATCTTAAATTCTAGTGGAG